CCGCCCGCCCGCCCGCCTCGCCGACCCGACTTTCCTTATCTGAACGCGCCCTTTAGCGCCAGCAACCGTTTTGGCGCCGCACAGCTTTTACGAGCTCGCTGATTAACTCGGCAAATGCAACACAAAAAGCCTCTCTGCTCGCTCGCGGTTTGCTGTTAACGCGCTTGCCTTTAGCTTAGCGGTGTTGTTGTATAAAATTCCGCCGCTCGTAAATCCCGAGGCGCGCGCGCGGCGCGTTGGATATTATAATAACGCGCGCGAAGGTTTAAAGTATGATGGCCGGGGCGGCTCTTGCTGGTGGTCAGGTCGCCGCCGCGCCACTTCCCCGGATGCTAAATCTACGAGGCGGCCCCGGCTACTCTCCCATGGCGGCCACGTATGATACGCGTCATTATAACGCCATCAGCCGTAAACAAAAGGAGCCTCGGCGCCCCGGCCCCGGTGCAATTGAATGCGGCTGGTGCCCCAGCCAGCAACCAGTGTACCCTTATTTAGATACTTGAAAAGGTATTTTGTGAAAGCTGAACGAAGCAACAAGCCACATTCGTTTAGAAATGTCTACTGAAAAAAATTGTTGAAAAAAAAAAAACGCACCTCTTTTTAGTTGTTGGTCGTTTGGATAAGCCTTTTTACACTTTTTTCCACAGTTTTATGAACTACGCTAGTAAAACATGGCCCGCCGTCTTATGCCTCCCATTTTTAATTAGCCGCTCGTTACCCAGCAGACAAAAGAGGGGTAGGGGGGCCGGCCGTTCGTCTTGGGCCGTGAAGTGCGGTAAAAACTTACAAGTTGGTCGTCGCGCCCCTAAGTAATGAGGCCTGCCTCGCCAATGCTCGCCGCTCCAGAGAGCGAGTCCTCCTTGCCGTCGTTGCGAATGTCGTGCGCGGTGTGCGTCGCGTTGCCTGGAAATGAGATAGTCTGCCTCCGGGCGTCGTGCGCTGCGCGTCGTGTGTTTCCGGGCACGCGTGTTGCATCACGTGGGGCTGCGCTGCATTCCTGCGACCTGCTACTCGACGAGCAGTTTGATTGGCGCTGTGGCTGGGATTGGCGCGCCAGGAGGAGTTGCGTGGACACACGACGGCCTCCCGCGGGATGGCACGCGATCGGGCGAGCGGCTGCTGCTGCTCAGTCATTAGACCACACACGGAGACAGACACGCGCCTATAGCACTTCAACCACTGCCGTGTTTCTTCTTCTTCTTCTTCTTCTTCTTCTTCTTCTTCTTCTGTCCCCGCACCTGTAGAGATTGAAGTCATAGACCAACTATACTTGATCCTGAATTTTTCAAGTGCATGTGCCTTGGATTCAAGTGATAAGTATCAATAAGGATCGAGGATTATTCACTTGGTCAGTTATGGTCAAAAGAACTTGAATCACTTGCATTAAGACGTATGCACTTGAAAAATCCAGGATAAAGTACAATGTACTTGGTCCAAGAACTCTGTCATTTTGGGTGTCGTTGGACGCACGCAGCAGAGCCTTATTTTGAACGTGTTGTCAAGATGATCACTCATTCCTCGTGTTTCATTGATGCTAATCTCAGGAGCAGCAGGTCCTCCTCCTCCCCCTCTCTGGTCCTCTTTGCTTCTGCTCCCGCCCACTCTCGCGTTGCCTATCGAGAATCACGCGCTCGCGCGAGAGCGGGAAATCTGAAATCCGAGATATGATTTATGGACTGGTTGACGGGTCTGTCAGCTCCTGTCACCCTCCCTTACTTTCCAATTTTCTCTGCTCCCCAGCTCTTGGCGGCTTGCTCTGGCTCGCCGCCGAGTCTCTCTCTCTTCCTCTCACTCGCTCGCTCCCCTGGGCGGGCGCACGTCTTCCGTCTCCTTCGCACCGCTGCCCCTCGTCCACATTATGATGAGTTTTGTTTCAATGTTGTGCCCGAGCCATTCAATTCCGAGGCTCATTCATGCGGGCCAACTCACGCGACGCCCGCCGAATGCAGGATGAGATGCGGAAAGTGCGCGAAGTGCTGAGCGGCACAGAGGCGCGCGCGGGGGCGTAACCCTCCTCGCCATCGATCGCGCCGCGGGAAAAACTATTCCAAAGTCGCGGAAAGTGTTGAAAGATTATCTGTCCAGCAGGGACCATTATGGATATTCCAGCAGCCACGAGATGAATAGATAAAAACAAAAACAAAAAAAAAACAAACAAAAAAAAAAAACTAGGAAAAAAAGAAACTGGCAAAAAAGTTACTTGCTGACGGAACGACGGACGGTGTGTTGGGCACCGATAACTACCTGAAAGCTAGCGAGCCGCTCGTTATTAATATTGTGTCGGAAGAGAGAGGAGAAAAAAACGGGGTAATGAACTGTAAAATATGTAGTGCGGGTCCTTGCCGGTCCCCGCGCTTCCCACGGTGGGGCCTAAGTACGACTCGTTAGGGCGCGGCACGCAATGTCTCCATTTTCACTTGCTCCTCACCGGCTTGCCCGATGAGTGCTGCTTAGTCTCTCTCTCTCTCATCTCAGGTTGCCAGAATAAGGATCAGCAGCGCCCTGTGACTCCAGTGGCTTGTGTGTTTGTTCAAGTTCTCACAGCAGCTCAGCGCCACCCAACACTCTGCGGCACCAGCGCTCCAGAGAGAAGGATCAAGCTGACCAAGATCCCCTATAACACGGTGTATTGACGACAAACGCCGGGCCGCTCGCCGCACGTGTCGGGCCGGCGGCGGCTCGCCCTAATGTGTTAGTCTTTCGCCGCCCTCCCCACCCCTGCGCAGCGCAAGCTCACCCTCGTGCACACAAAAGCCGGCTGTCACCATGGAGATGTAAACAAAAGGGCTGGTGATAAGTGTTGTTGTGTGTGTGCTGGAGAGAAAGGGAGAGTGCAATGAGTTCGTAAAGAGAGGGGAAAGGTGCAGTCGCACGATTATCATCCCTTTATATGGGGAGTTTCGTCAATTGGAAAGCACCTTTCACTATCATCGGTCAGGATACTCGAGTACGGTACTACTTGTTCTCCGGCGTGAAAAGAGGTCGCCATCTGGGAAGGCTGATAAATGCGATCCTAAACGCTGTTTTGGTCCAGTGTCTTTCTCCAGGGTAGGCAGGCTGCGTCTCCCGGCATGACCAATGCAATTATGATTGCGGTGATAAATGTGAAATTGGATGCAGGGGGAAAGGGGTGGACCGCCGCCCGGGGGGTGGACGAGACGGACCGTGTCGTTAGACAAAAGGCCACGTAATTTTATTCGTCAGGCGTATTGCCGTTCAGCTCCTGATAACCGAGAAAATATGCGTCTGAAATGGAGAGAGGATTTTTTTTTTCACCTCGGGATTTTCGTTTTGGAGAGGGCAGGGCAATATGCTCCCAGTGCGTTGGCGAGCAGCGAGTAGTAGTGAAGTCTGTTCGCTGGCGTAAAACGAGAATGAAGAGAGGGACGTGGCGAATGAAGAGAGAGAGACGAAGAAGAAAGATGGGCAAGGGAGAGAGCGAATAACGTTGCTAGGTAAGTACGAGTGGGAGGGCAGGCCGGGGGAAGCCATCTGACCACCCTGATGCGTCTGCTATACACAATAAAACTTACTTGACGACTTTCCATCTGCTAACAAGAAGAGAAGAGAGGGCGGACGAGCAGTCTGCACGTGGTTGCGATGCAACCCTGAAAAATTCTCCCCTGATGGGCATGTGGTTTTCATTTTCGTGGATTTCAATTCGGGTCGCGATCCCTATTCGAGAGTGGTGCGAACCGTCATGGGGCCCAGCTGCGCATTCGCCTGCCAGGACCCAGGGAGGCTGAGGGAAAAAATATGAAGGAGACGACCGCCTCCTGGCAAAATGAAAAGAGGACATAGTCAGCTCGCGGAAAAAATTTCATCGTGGGGGTAGAAAAATCGAGACTCAAGGAGGGGGGAAAAATAAAAAGGAGCAGCTCTGTAGACTAAGAAGCATTGGTGCCTTGCTGGAAATGAAGAGGAACAGGCTGGCAGCCGCTCCGCGCACCGCGAGGAGGGAAAGGGGCAGCAAAAAGAGAGGCTGTGCGAGGGGCGGGTGGTGGGGGAGGGGTTGCGCAGCGCGCGCGCGGCCAATCGGCGCGGCCCTTACAAACTGCGGGCTTGGTTGGCCGCGGGCGGGCACCCCCTCCACCGGGCGCCGGCCGGGAGTGGGGGCCGGCGGCGGTGGTGGGGGGCCGGGGCGCTCGCCCGGCAGCGCGCCCGCCGCTGGAAGGAGGAAAGTGAGGTTAGTTCTGGTGCCACCATCGTTGCGGGCGGACGGGCGTGCTTCGCGCGGACCAAGAGAGTGTGTGTGTGTTGTGCCAGTGTCTGTGCGATCATGTGATTGAGGATTACCTTCACCGACGTGCCCTGCTCGACGATGTGCCGGACGTGACATGGTGCTGGAGCCCATGTTCCCCGCGCGGCCCCTGGGCGGCCCCGGCCTCGGCGGCCCCGGACCCCTGCCCACCAACATGGCTGTGAACTTCGCGGGCTCCGACGTGATGTCGCGCCTGCTGCACGCGTACCGCGGGCTCGCCATGGCGGGTCCCTTTGGCCCGGGCCCCATGGGCGGGCTGCCCCCGCCGCCGCACCACGCTGCCGCACGGGGGCCGCCGCTGTTGCTCCGGGGCATCCCGCAGCCGCAGCCTCACCCGGGCACCATTGCGCACCCGGGCCACCATCACCCGGGCCACCCGCCGCTCTCGCCGCCCGGCGTCAGGCCCTTCGACAGGCAGGACCCGAGGTCCTCGCCCAACGCCCCGACGCCCAACTCGGCGCACGACGAGGCCGCGTCTCCCGGTGGAGGTGAGTTTCCGTCACTGCCACGGAGTCGGTCGGAATCTTTTGCGGTCAACCTGACACCTGTCGTAGCTGGGACATATGTCTATGGGACATATATAAATTCAGTTTACTACCTCAATATAAAAGCAATGTAAAAATAGTTCATGTGCGGCCTTAATCCAATTGACGTTAAGATATGTCAATGCTAATTGGATTAAGGCCGTACAGGAACCATTTCTACTTTGCTATGTACATTAAGAGAGCAAAATTAGACAATTTTCACAGGCCATGATGTAAGGGACTACAACAAATTCATGTTAAGTTTTTTTCTCGCAAAGAAAATTCGCATTTCAAAATATGCAGGCTTATGCTGTATGAACAATTAAGGCGCGCTTATTTATATTTTTGTTCAGATATTTTGCAGATCATGGCTAGGGAAGCATTTGTTCCAACCATAATAACACATAAACTTACGCTTTTAAATGTTTTGTTTCACTACATTTTCCCCCAGCCATGGCAACTAAATTAGCTGTCTCTTCTAGAGCCCTTCCGGCTCAATTCATTTTCTCGATCTCTTTCTTATAAATATTAAATTGAGTGGACCTCGTGTCCCGGCTCGAGTCGCGCGTTCCACGGCGGACGCACATCGGTGATGATTCACAATTCTCCACCTTATTGAAAGGCAAACGGAAGCCGATGTGATGGTGTTGTCCAATTCAGTGGCCGTTGGCCATTGATTACAACTCCATCGGGCAGCGTGTCGCGCGCCTGGTCGGGCCGGTGTGGCCGTCAACCGTTCTAGTAGTTTTCTCCCGGAGAATGTCCCCGCGAGGCAACGGCCGCGCGAGTGAGAGAGGATGTTGTGGAAATGGAGAGACAAGGGGGAGAGACAGAGAGAGAGAGAGAGGGAGCAATAAGGGAAGGGAGACACGTGAGGCACGCAACGCCACCCGGAGAAATATATAAACATCATTACGCGTCAATCGCTTGCTTGCGTTGACACCGCGGCTCGCCTGCGCGATTTCACTTTGCGCCGCCCCGATCGGGACAAACACAAACAAGGACTGCTTTGCCTTCGGCTGCCCTCGGCGGGCACCGCGGCCGCCTTCGTGTGTGTCAATCGGCTCCCTGGGCGACGCCTGCCCCGCTTCCACCCCAATCACATGCAGATTCCTCTATTGGCAAGGCGATGCGTGCGCTTAGTCTCATTATGCGCACGCAGCCTCACTCGTTTGTGTTTGTGTGAGAGTGTGTGTGAATTCTTAAGTTTTGTGCTATGTCCAAAGAAATTTCTCCGGTGTTATACAGGGTGGGTGATCGGCGCCGTGGTTTTTTTCTGCTTATGCTGTACCGGATTCATGCGTGCGGGCGGGCTTGCCTATCGTCGCTCGCCACGGCGCCTTACGGCCCCGTGCGAGTATGCAACCCGTCCGCACGCATGAATGCGGTACAGTATAAGCAGAAAAAAACCACGGCGCGGATCACCCACCCTGTATACTGGATGACAGGGGAGAATTTAAGTGCATTGCAGGATGCATTTGTGTGTGCACAGCTTGCAAAATGAAATTTTGAAGCTGGTCTAGTTGGACAGTGACAAAATATAGAATTTTGTCCAGCAGGTGCAAATCTATCACTATACTCACTTCAAAATTGCAACTTGCACGATGATGCATTTGCACCCAGACGCATTTGGCAGTGGATAAAAAGTATGCCTTGCCAGTAATTACGGTACTAGGAAACCATTTGGTAATACTGGCAATACTGAAGAATTTCTTGATAAGTTACCACAGCACAAAACTTTATTGGTTACGAGGCAAATGTTGTAATAGTAAACCGTTTGGAGCGAACCCCTTGATCAGGTGTACAGGTGGGCTCAACTTGCTTCTTTAGGTTTGAAATAATCTCGGCTGTAAACGAAGCGCGACCATCGTGCTGCTGCTGCCCAAGTCGCGCCCGCTGCGCCTCTGCCCCCTGCAGGCACGCCATCATCCGCCACGAATATTTACATGCAAGTTTTTCCTCACAAATAGGCGTCCCTCATTATGCGGAGATTATTTGAGTTTGGGCCCCTTGGCGTGTCGCCGGATGATTAGTCGCCCCGCGCACCAGAGCCAAATTGCACCGTAAAGAATGTTCTTGGAATTTTCCAAAAAATAAAAGAAAATATTAGGGTTTGATAGAACATGTGCACAATGTTCAAAAAATTATGGATATTTCTGCAATAACTGTTGAAGATAAGTCGTGTTTTTTTTTTTTAATGTTTTAGTAATGTAAAGTAAAAAAGCCAACGTGTGAGTGAGCATTCGCTGCACCCTGTGTGTTTTTTTAGCGGCATTGGAACATATTCCCTGCACCACTTGCAGTATTTGCACAGCTTCGGTGTAATTTTATTTTCAGGAAAGAGAGAAGGATTATTCTTTTTTCTCCCCTCGCGCCCTGGTTGTGGTTCGGTAGTGCTCGCTGTCGTTACGTGCCTGCTTGTCGTTGGGCCGCTAGATGGCGCCGCGGCGCCGCCGCTCCGTCACGTCCACCTGACGGTGTTATTAGTTTCCACGGTTGACAAGCTAATTCCTTTTCGTGAAATAATAATAATAATAACAACGCGACGTGGCGGGGAGTGGCGGTCGCTTTGGTTGTAATTGAATGAAGTCCGCGGCAGCCATTTCGGTGACCGTAGAAAGAAAGAGAGAGAGAGAGAGAGAGAGAGAGAGAGAGAGAGAGAGAGAGAGAGAGAGACGCAAAGCCGCGTGGCAATCTGGCGCCCCTGCTGCTGGACGCTGGACACCAGTCGCCGCTTTTATCAAACTCAGCGGCGGAGCTTTGCTATTGTGCAAGAGAATTAGAGACAGAGAGACGTCACGATCACGCCTCCCCTTCACTACCTGACATCACCAAGAGAATGGAAGAAGCCAATCCCTTAAGATGGCTTCCTCTTTTCTTGGGCAGATCTCTGCTGAGCTGCGCCAGCGCCACTGACTTACCCACCGGCGAAAATCGGCCGCGATAGAATATAAGGCCTTCTTGTCGTCCCGCGGGCGCAGCACAGGGCGTACCGCTCTGACGAGAGGTGGAACGCGATCCAGTCGTAAACTAGGGCTGCCCACCACGTCGACACGTATAAACACGACACGGCGGGGAAGAAAAAAAAAGTCTCATGAGGATCTACGATGGTAATAAAGTAACATAAAATTACCGTAACACCTCCGCGCCCCGCCCTACCCCGGCCGGCGGAGCATGGAATATGGTAACATCCTCACTTCGGTACAAAACACATGCCTCATAAATTCCGCACGCCTGCCCTGCCCCGCCCCGCCCTGCGCGGCTCGCGGGAGGAAGGGAGGCATTACGCCCGCTCTCTATAATTATTTGCGCCCGTGTAACCCGAAGCTGTCAAAATTTTACCATTTTACTTGCGTTCATTCCATAGCTTCGTACAGGTAGAACCAATTTTATAAATATTTTTTAGGAAATTTCGTTTGTTTCCTGTGACGAACGGAAATTATTCTGGAGACCTTTCGACGAAATTTTGATTCACGAAATTGAATTAGCTTCCCTATGTTTTTTTTTTTTTTTTTTTTTTTTAAATTTTGTGTGAAGGAGCGACTTTTTTTTTTTTTTTTCTTTTTTACCCCGGCATCTTTTTCGCTTTTCGCTCCAATCCCGTCGCCGCGCAACTATGCTATAGCAGCGCTACCGGGCGCGTGACCTAGCGTGACTGCGGGCCGTGCTGTCACGCGCTTTTGAGCCCCGTAACTCTTTGTTATTGTTTACTTAGATGCGCGCGGAGGTGTGGGTGGTGGGAGCCCGGGCGAGCGAGCGGTCAGCCCCCGTCCGACTGTCCGACGGTCATGCCCGGCCCGCGGGGCGTGCCCGCCGCCCTCCCAGGGGCGTACTCAGCCGACGAAATTGTAATTAAGGCCGTTTCCTTCGTCACCCCGTGTCCCGCGCCACCGCCGTGTGCTGCCCGGCTTTACGATCTCAACGTGTCGTCCCTGCTTCCCTGTGTGCGTCCCTGCTGCGATTGCATCGCCCTCTCTCTCGCATAACGCGTCTCAAAGTTATTACCGATCTCGCTGGCCGGTGGTGCCGGCCGTCGTGGACTGGCCCCCTCGCCCCTCGGCACACCTCTTCCCCTCCTCCCGCCGCCCCACCTGGACGCCATAATAACATTTCAATCGGCCCCTTCGGGCTTGCATTATTTTGGGCCTGCATGTTGCGCGGCGTTCAATAAATAGCGGTCTGATCCCCGGCCGAGCAGAGGGGAGCGGTGCAAGTAATTACCAATCGCCTGCTCTTTGCCGCCCTTAAGAAAAATACGTCATGGCGAGCTGCTCGTCGTCCTGTCGGTATTCGACCCGCTTTTATTATTACATCTCGTCTGCGAAATTATTATTGACTTTAAACAAAATTGAAATTTGTTCGCGACGATGTGTGTGTGTGTGTGTGTTTGTGTGCATATCGTGTGCGTAACACAGTGGGCCACTTATTCGCATCCGGCGTGATGATAACCGTTCTAGTGTTAAGTCCCACTCCACCAATAACGAATAAGTTTTCCAATTATCGCAGTCAATTCTTTTTTATCCATTCCCCCTTTTTTCTTCTTTTTATTTCTGATTGTTCTCTTGAAACAAATTGACGCAGGCCCCGGGCCTGGCCTGTCGCCCGTCGCCGCGTGCATGCGTCGATAACCCCCAACCCCTGCCTGAAGCGGGGCGGCGCGGGGGCTTGGCGGCGGGGCGAGCCCGTCCGCGGCCCACAGCCTGCCCTGCGGAGAGCCTGCGCAACAAATTGTCCTTATCTCTCACTGTCTGCCTGCTGCTCCTCTTCCTCGGTCGCGCGAGCGAGTCGCGGCTGCTCAAATCCGACCGATAATTTCCTCCCCCCCATCCGCTGCGGAAAACTTTTTATTCTTTTCCGTTCCCCCGGGTCCCTCATGCTCGCACCCCCCGCCTCGCTGCCTCTCCCTCTCTCCGATTAGGGCCCTACTACCCATTCGTCCCCCCCGATTTCACCCTTCTCTCTCTCTCTCTCTCTCTCTCTCTCTCTCTCTCTCTCTCTCTCTTCTTTCCTTCTTCTCCCTCCCCGTCCCTCTCTCCCTCCTATCCCTGCTCTCTCGCCCCTTCGCGCAGTCAGCAGAGCAGGCGGTCACCGGCGCACAAGGGGAAGAGAGAGAGAGAGAGAGGTGGGGGAGAAGGGTGGAGGGGTGGAGAGGGGGGCTGCTTTGTCCGCACGAGTGAAATTTCAGACTTGTGATGACCCCCTCGGGAGGTCGTATACCTTGTCGACCAGGAGGCGGCCGGCCAGCACACCCGATTAATTAACCTCAACTGGACGGGGAAGAGGGGGGGGGGGGAGATGGGGGGGACATATGCGTCCGGCGTGACGTCGCGCGCGATGCGCCCTTGTTGCTGCTGCTCGCCAGCTCGCTCGCCATCGCTCTTCTTCCTTTTTTTAAAGTTTTTTTTTCATGTTTTTTCTACGCCCCTCTCTAATTATTTCTTTTCTCGTATTTATTTTAACGACTTGTCGCACAGCGTATTTACCTAATTGCGGGACGGCGCGACGGGCTGTATATGATGTACGTGTGGCTCTCATAAAAGCAACACATCAAACCCGCCTACTGTGCGTGCACGCACGCGCATGTGTGTGTGTGCGCGCGCGCGCACGCGTACGTCTGCGTGTGTAAAAAATATTTCTCTGTGTGTAAAAGCGCCAAGAGTTTGTGTGCTGGCGGGTGGTCTTTTGTTTTTGGAGTGGGGGAGTCACCGTTCAGGCCCGAGAGAGAGCGAGAGAGGTAAGGAGAGAGGGAGAGGGGGGGGGGGCGTGCCTGCCTGCATGGCGCCGCTGAATGGCGGAGCGTGGCGCCGCGGCGTGGCGCGCGGTGGGGCGACGCGTGCGGGCGTGGCGTGGCGGGGCGTGGCGTGGCGGCCGGGGCGTAGCGGAGGAGGCTACTTACTTGCCGCGGGTGCAATTGAATCCCCCGTTTGCTCTGCGATTGTCTCGTCCTCCCGCCGCCACGTGGCGCCACGTGGCCCCGCCCCATTCCAGTTTATCTGTAAATATCTCCCTCTATATATACTTGACGATTGTCGGATCGGATAATATATATTTATGTACAGCAAACGAATGTGTCTTTAATTTTCCTCTCGAGCAGAGCCGTATTATCCCGCAGCCAGGCCGCGGACGGACTCCGTGGCCGCTGGCCGCCCTCACTTTCTTGTGATATTCGGGGCGTGATTTCTCCCTTAGCGTATTTATTGCAGAGCGTGCTGCTCTCGGCTATCGAGAGCCCGCCACGCCGCGCCACTCCCCGCCCTGCTCCCGTCAGTAATTGGACAGATCGGCGGAGGCGGGTGATGCAAAAGATCCCATGTTGACGCACACCAGCGTGGTTCTGAGCTTGTGTGCCCAAGAGAGCCTTGACCTTCGGATGTGGACTTCACAGATTTTCGCATTTTCTTATTTGTGCTTTTTTGCCAGCTATTTTGCGTGTTATTTTAATATTGTGTTTTATTTTAGGCAAACATACAATAAGTTTATGTATTATTTCTGTAATGTAGACTGTTTAATTTTGACGGAAATTTTGGTTTTCTGTGAACAAATACACTGGTAAAACAAGTGTTTAATTTTGCACGTCAATTGATATGTTTAAGTTCAAGTCTGCAAGTACCAGACACATTGTGGTTTCTTACTAGGTTACGTCAATTGGTGTTTAAACTCTCGACCCTTCCGAAAAGTATAGCCGCTGCACACCATGTGGTTCCTATTGATAGCACAGAACTGTGTGTGTCCAAGTGTGCAGAAATTAAACGTTAACAAAACGTCTAAAATTTGCACACCATGCAAGTGTGCAACTTTTCAACACCATGTAATGTGCAAAATCGTAACTTTCACACGTTGGTGTGCGAATTTCGCAAACTTGTTTTACCAGTGTATGGACTATTACTCATATTCTGAGCACGCGTCTCCTCAAAATCTGATAGAAATTCCCACATTTTTAACGAGAATCTGAGGAGCTTTCCTCCAACCAAAGAAGTTACCACAAAGTCATCCCCTTTTCCTCGAAAAATCAGACATTGTTTTTTTTTACCGTCTTGGACATGAATGGGAATGGAAGGGAACGTCGTGTAGTAATGGGATGTAAAAACTTTTCCTTTTTCCCCCTCCTCGCGCCGATAAGGCGTCGATATGATAACTGTTCCTCAAACGGCCTGCTCCGCTGGCTCCGCTGGCTGGCCGCTCGACTGACAACTTATCTCTCCAAATTACACAACGTGATTGATTGTGGCTGTCTCAAAAGCGGGGTCCTTGGTGTGTACGTTTCTGACGTAGCCGCAGACTCCTCCCGATTGTGTGTGTGTGTGCACGGACCGCGGTTGCTATTGAAAGAATCGCAGAACGCTCAAATTTTAATGAAGTCCCTCAGCGCACCAAACTGTTCAAAAGTAGTGTTCTGTTCGTAATGGAGATTTCCCTCTTGTTTGACAGCTGATGAGGACGAGGCGTCCAAGCGTCGGCGCTCCAGGACCAACTTCAACAGCTGGCAGCTGGAGGAGCTGGAGCGGGCCTTCCTGGCCAGCCACTACCCCGACGTGTTCATGCGGGAGGCGCTCGCGCTCCGCCTCGACCTCAAGGAGTCACGGGTGGCGGTAAGTAACACGATACGATTGTAATTTTTTATTTGATTCGTTTTTGTACAGAAGCGTGCGAGAAAAGGGATCAGGGGTGTAATGTCAATCACTCGACTTTATTAGCCGGAGCACAAAACCGCTCGTTTCCCCGAAAAAAGGCGGTTTGAATCGAAACGGAATTCCGTGGAAATGTTTATTATCCCCCTGGACATGTGTTTGGGTTACGCGATACCCGGAGCGGTGAGGTCGCCGGCTGCAAATTGGAAAGTGAAGTCCCTGCTCGCTTTTGGCCGCGGACATGACCCACACCCCCTCGCGCTGTAAACACGCCGGTGACCCACATGTCGGCTAAATGGCCTTCTACTGTTGCAGAAAATGGCACACACCATGTCCATTATAAAGTTTCGACCGCGAGAGAATAATAGTTTTTGGCGGCGCGCGGGCAGTTAGTTTAACTACTCCCCCCGCGCAGGAGCTCGCGCACGCGTTTATTTTTATTTGTATTTTTTTTTGCTCCTTTTCTTCTTTCAAAAAATGAAATGAGTATAAAACGGTAAAATTTAGTGGTCCGGGTCGCCATGCAGGCGGCGGCCGTGGTGCGCGCGGCGGAGCGTGAAGTGGCTGGCGGTGGAGGGAGGGTGCGGGTGGCGGAGGGTGGCGGAGGTCAGCGGGGGTTACCTGCAGCCCCGCGGGCCACACCGCCGGCCGCGCTCGTGAAATACCATAGTAGCGGTGGCAGTATCACCCGCCACCCCCGCCGCGCCAAAGAGATTGTGTAACAGTTGCGTTGTTAGGGGTTTCATTCATTTGAAATGCGATTGTCGCGGCTGGTCGCGGCCCCCTCCTGCACCGCGCTGAGGGGCTCGTTGGGGTGCGCGGCGGCGGGAGGGTGAGGCGGGCGGCGGGGTGTGCGGGGTGTGCGGGGCGCGGCAGAGTCAATCCGCGACTCTGTTTTGACTCGGCGATCCGAGGCGCGGCGAAGCGAGCAGGCGAGCCGGGCACTGAGCAGGGCGAGGGGGATGGGGAGGGGAGGGAGCGAGGGGAGGGTCCTGGAAGGCAGGGGAGGGAGCGACGCGCACCCCTGCTTGTGGTGGTGGTGGCGCTCCAGCCGCAAAGATCTCGCTCTCTCTGTCTCTCTCTTTCTCCCTCTCTCTCTCTCTCGCCCTGTCTCTCCCCCTCCCTCCCGTGGACCTGGGGGCCGTGAGGTGGCTGGCGGCTGCCGGGGCGGAGCGGGGGCGGCCCCAGGGGAACCATCCGAGTTCGGCCAACCCCATTACCTCTGCGTTATAGACTCGCAACAAGGCAACATGTGGCGGCGTCTCGCTGCTTATGGTGCAGGGCAGAAGGAGGAGCAGCACCCCACCGGCAAGGGGGAGCAAGGAAGGAGGAAGGAAGGAACTTGTAACTACAACGACGTCGCTTTACTCTGTGTCGGCAGGTGTGGTTCCAGAACCGGCGCGCCAAGTGGCGCAAGAAGGAGCACACCAAGAAGGGCCCCGGACGGCCGGCGCACAACGCGCACCCGCAGACCTGCAGCGGCCAGCCCATCCCGGAGGAGGAGCTGCGGCGCAAGGAGCAGGACCGGCGCGAGAAGAAGATCCTGCGGGCCCTGCAGCGCCAGCAGGTGAGTGGTCCGAACAACCTGCTCGTCCTGCTGTCGTGCGAGGAGGGACTTTCCACTGACCGCTTCTTGTTTCTCTCTGTCATTGCAGAAAAAGCTGGCCTCGAAGGGCATCACCGTAGACCTGGAGACGCTGAGGCGCGAGTGGGAGGCCAGGGGGTCCTTCGTGGGCAGCAGGAACGGGTCGCGGAAGGGCGGCGCGGCGGGTGGCGCGGGCGGAGGAGCGCCCGGGGTGCCCGGCGACGAGGACAGCAGCGACATCGACGTGGTGGGCGACGACGACAGCATGGACTACGAGTCCAGCAGCACGGCCGCTCCGGATGACAGCGGTAACGACGACCGGCCGCAGTCGGGCCAGGGCCACGCCAGCGGGCCTCACGGCCTCGGCCCCATCAACTACGTCAAGCGCGAGGCGCCGGCCGCGTCGCCGTCCGAGGCCGCGAGCACGCCGCTGTGCGAGGACAGGGCCTTCTCGTCGGTGGCCAAGCCCGTGCCCGTGAGCGGGGCCAGCCCACCGCTACCACTCCCCCTGCTGCTTAACAACAACAACAACACCGAGGAGGCCAACAACAACAACCATCATCACCACCACCTCCACCACCACCTGCACGGCAAGGACTCCCTGCGGAGCAGCCCCGTCAAGCTGAGCCCCTTCAGCATCGAGTCGCTGCTGTCCCGCGGCCACGGCCTCGGCCACACCATCAGCCAGGGCCTCGTCCACGCCGCGGAGCCCGTGGAGTCGTGACGGCCGCGAGAAGGTGAGCATCGCGCCCCCCTCCTCCCCCCTTTTAAACTTCCCGCGCACTGTCTTCCCATCCCAAACCTCGGCGGTGCCGTAATAAAATTCCAGCGATGTTATCTCCGTGGCTGGAAATTAAAACAAACGCTCCGCCGCTAACTATTAATGACGCCCCAGGGCAAAAGTGCTGATCTGGCCGCAATCTCTGCGAAATAATTTCCACTGCCGGGGAAAACGGTTAGTGGCTGTGCGGGGGCGGGTCGGGGGGCAGGGGGGGCTGTGCTGGGGCCCAGGCGCTCGATGCCGAGGGCGAGATAGGCGTGAAAGTTTAGCGGGGCGCAGCACTGTCGCGCTCAAGTAGGGCCCGCCCGCCGGCAGTTGTACTTCCACCCCGCGACTGCCGTCTTCTCCTCCCCTCCCGGCCCGCCCCCTGCCACCCCTCTCTCTGTCTCTGAGTTTCCCTTCCCCTGTTGCGGAGGGGGACAAGAGGGTGAAAGTCTCGAGTCTAATGGGCGCGTGTCTTTGCTTTGTTTCTGATTCCAGATCTCGACGACGATCGTCTTCGCTGATCGTTTCCATCTGTGATAAGTGAACTTCAAAACTGAAGCGTCGCGCCAACCGAAGATAAATGTGCTGGGGGACGAACCGTTTATTGGAACACCCGAAGCCCTTCAAAGTTTTTGATGTGTCACTGGGGAAAGTGAGAAGCATCAAAGATGATAGATTCAAAGAATAACCCTTATTTTTATAATATCTATGACCTGTAGACTGAAGACTGTGAAGAAGATTGTGTGTCTTCTGCCGCAATATTGCTTGCCTCCTGTAGATGGTGACAATACTAGTATTCATGTACTCTGTTCACCAAGCATATCCTCTCAAGTGGAGATTATGTTTTCAGTAAATGGAAAAAATATTGAAGCATATCGGTCTAAATTTTAGCATATCATCTGAAAACATGTAACCAAACTTGTAGCAGTCTCACTGCCTTGGTGGATTGGTGATTCTTTGAAACTCATCGCTCATATCATGAAGTTCCATAAGAAAATGACTCTTCGTCTTTTAACGACACTAAACTTTATTTGAGTCAAGTAATTTGAAAGAATAAACGAATATTGTTACTGTTCCCTGTAGATCTCCAAAGCATTATTCTTCATGCTTTAGGTAAGCCACAGCACTGTTTTTAAGTTCCTTTTAATTATATGTGTAAATACAAAGTATTCTAGTCATGAAATGAAAATATTGTTTACTGAGAGAGAGAATTTTTTTTGTCGTGTAAGTTGATGCAAATTATCCTATCTATATCTATCAGACATGTTGTGATATGGCGCCACAGTTACGCTGCGCCGAGGTGCCGAGTAGTGTATATTGATGAACAGTTAGTGTTATTGTTTGATAATAAAGGTGAAGATCTCCAAGTTGCACCCGGCCGACCAGTCATTTCCCAAGGTGATCCACCACTCCAGCGACGGCACGCCAGAGAACAGGCGATTACTCGGCCAAACACACCATACCGAGAAGAAGCCAAGCAATCCTGCGGGAATTAACTCATCTCTGATATTCATGAGCAAACAACAATAACGATCATTACGCGACGCTAGAATTGCCTTTCTCTGCCGATTCCGGGGCGGGAGTCTCGCAATTACAGAAGACGCGCTGCCCGCCTCCTGGGGGGCCAGGCCGGGCCCCGGGTAGTGACGGGGCGCGTTCGCACGCACCGCGCACGCACGCATCATCTGCACGGGGGCCGCGCACAAGTCAGTAACTACATTTTAAACAGAGGGTCCCCATTACGAGTTTATATGGTTTCAATTTTCTCAGACCACTTCAGAATAAGTTATTGCAGCGATCAGCGCTCAGTGCCCCTACCTACAAAAATCCCTCGGCCCCTGTGTACCTGCAAATTTTCGTGAGGAAACATACATTAGAAAATTCGCTGACCACACTAGACTATAGCAACTTGTTTGCGTTGCACTGTTTGTTCAACAATTTCGTCTCGACACGACACTTTGGGCCAGCCTGGTCCGCGCCAGGCCAGCAAGAGAAGAGGTGGGGGGGGGGTCTGTATGAATTTGCATCGATACATCGAAGCGGCCCAGGGCTCGGGAGGCGTGTATGCAGGGCCCACATGTAATTACACAAAGTTTATGTTTGGAGTTATTGGGAGATGGGCAGCGCGGATAGTGCGGGGCATTACAGGTCATTAGTGTAGGCGGCGAGGTCAGAGAGAGAGAGAGAGAGAGAGAGA